TTAATATCAGCTAATGTCAATCCAAAGGCTTTCTTATATCTTTTTAAAGTTTCTAACAACGATTGTTCTTGCTTATCAATTAATTTTTTAAGATACTATAATAGGTCATGTACATAAATCTTCTAAAAATGCATACTTCTAATGTGTAAGTAGCATTTTTAGTTCTAGTTCATAAGGTTTCTCAATAGATGTAATCAAATTCTTATTACTTTCTATAGGATCTAACATTTCAAATCATTCCTAAACATAATCCATATCCTTTTTACTCACTTCCATAGATTCATCTTGAATTTTATCCTCATCTTGATATTCCGTATATTCCTTTTTAAATTCTCTTTCAAACATTTTCTTGAAATATTCATGGCTTAAATATTCATTAATATCCATTCTAAAGCATTCAATCTATTGCTCTTTTGCAGGGTATCTCATTGATTTTGCAATATTAAATGTAACCTCTTTATCACTAACTCTCATACTTAGTTCTCCTTTCTGCACATCTATCAAAGCTCTTCTAGTGGCTAGGAATGATCTTCCAAAAATGATAGTAATTCCTTTATCTTCCTCCATATATAATGCAATAAAATACACAGGAAAGTTAAATTTATCAACATTTACCAAAACATCTTCTATAACTCTGTTAGGAGATGTAATCGATTGATCAACTAATTGAAGAGTTGGAGCTGTAGATGAAATATCTCCTAAGCCCAACCTTCTAAAAATTGATAACACCGTAAGATTAATATTAGCTTCTAAATCACATAAGGCTTTTCAATAAAATTTTTCACCAATGGCATAAGGAATTGTAAAGCTTCTAGGATCTTTAAGTTTTTTAGAAAGCTTTTTTTGAAATAAGGTGCTACACTCTTCGCTGAGTGCAACAGTCTCATTATCTACAAACTTCCTTTTCTTATTAAGTATATCCTTCATGAACTTCACATAGCCTGACATTTATTCCAAAGCTTCAAAAAATAGAATTTTTATCATTAATTTTCTTAAAATTTCCAAAAATTTCAAAAATTGATTATTGATGTATTTTTGTTTTAATATTTGTGGAAATGGAGGTGGTGGTCTTTCTACAGTGAGTTTTATTGGTTTAATGGGACTTTTTGACTCAAAATGAAAATCTTCACCAGATTTTTCATTTTCCACCTCATCTTTTTCAACTTCAACTTTTTGTTAAACTTTATTTTCTAATTTTTTTCCACTTCTCAGTTGAATAACTTTAATTTGTTCTTTGTTCTGATCTTTAAGATTTTCTTCAACATTTCTAGGCAATGTTCTTGGAGGTCTATTGTTAAGTGCGGTAGCAATACATCCCAATTGATTTTTCATGTTTCTGATCTTCTGATTGCAGCTCCTTGACTTTGTAATTGACTAGACATTTGTAATATCAATTCTTGCATCGATAGCTTTTCTCCTTACTCTACAAATTATTAAAACTTGGGTGGTCATAAGGTTTATAAACTTGATTCCCTTGATTATTGGAGTTTCCCAATAGGTTTGCAGTAGTGTTTCTCTATTATGGATTTGCAGCATTAGAGTTATTGTTACTCCAACTAAAATTTGGATGATTCTTCCAACCAAAATTATAATAATTGGCATAAGGGTTATTAGAATAATTGTTTATTGCATTTAAAGTCTCATAAGAATATTGAGATTCTATCATTTGTCCTAGTGAATTTTCCTAAAGAACAGGTGTTGTCTGAGAATAATTCATTCCATATTGATCTATCTTCTTTGATATAACAACTATTTGGGCAGCTAAAATAGATATAGCATCAGAATCATGAATACTAGCAACTTTTTTTTTGGATTTACCCCTCTGAGAGGGCCATTGAAAATTATTTCTAGACATCTCTTCAATTAATGAATATGCTTAATTGAATGGTTTTGACATTAATGATTCACCAGCAGCAGCGTAAATTATCAATCTAAGAGATCCAATCAATCTATTATAAAAAGTTTGAATTATTAATCAATCTAGCAACACATGGTGTGGGAACCTTCTATGAAGATCTTAAAATCATTCTCATGCTTCATAAATTGATTCTCCTTCAAACTGACAAAAAGATGTGATATCATTTCTAAGCTTAACAGTCTTTGAATGTGGGAAATATATAGATAAAAATTTTTGTTATAAATCTCCCCATGTTCTGATAGATCCAGATGCTAATGAGTTTAACCACATCTTAGCCTTATCCTTCAGTAAAAAAGGAAAAAGTCTAAGTCTGATGGCATCATTCGACACTCCATCAAATTTAAATGTTGCACACAATTCTAGAAAACTAGCAAGATGTAAATTAGGATCTTCAGTTGGTGTTCCTCCAAACTGATTATTTTGTACCATTTAAATAATAATAGGTTTAAGCTCAAATGAATTGGCAGCTACATCAGGGTTTTGTATACTCAAATGAATTTAATCTACTGTAGGATTAGCATAATCTCTTAAAGATCTCTGATGATGTTTACTTTCATTTCTAACCTTGTTTAAATTGCAAGCCATTTTGCTAAACTGATCTTTCACTTTCTGTTGTTTTTGAATTTTTCTAACAATTCTTTCTAACTCAGAATCATAAGGTACTAACTTTTCAGATTTTACACTACGCATAAAGTAAAGCACGTAATTAAAAATAAGCAAACACACTTAAATAACAAAATGTTCAAACTAAACTACTAACACTCTTTTTTTTAATAAAATAAAAAAATAACTAATATTTTTCGTTACTTCCCCAACAACGGCGCCGAAAACTTGGTGCGGGAGAATTTAGTGTATAAAGTTTACAAATATTTTTCAATATTACAAAATTACAGATGGTAGATATAATAATAAATATGCAATATAATCCCAATAAAAATACCTTTTATGTAAATAGTTTATCTCTTAAAACTCTTGTTAAACTGTCAAATCCCCTTTAAAATCAACGCAAGTATACGTATCGCTCAATTAATAAAGGGCTCTAATGGAGTCTTCGATATCGGTCACACAGAGAAGTTGGAAAATCATAAAAGTAAGTTGTGAAAATTATTTTATAACCTAACAATACAAAAATAAAAGTAAAATGCGAAGTTTGAATGGCAACTACTAAAGTGAATGCTACTTAAAATGCAGAAGTAAAATTACCGAAGTTAAACTAAATTAAACACTAAACTTTCAAAAGTAAAATTGCAAAAAAATAAACAAAGTTCAAATTTAAAAAAGCATCCTTCCCCTTTACAGTGAGTATATGGATTGTGAAGAATTTGAAATTATTTGAAAAATATATATTAAGAACTGTTTTGTGCCAAATAGGAGCAATCCTATTCTTTACTCTCTTCCGAGTGCTATACAAAACATTGAATAATCCAAATTTTGGTCTCTAATTCCGTGGTTAGGTTGGGAGGATACTGGCTACTACTCAAAAGCTCCCACTACTCCCTCTGCTTACGAGGGCTAAAAATCTTGCATCAGTTTCTAATCAACTAGATTACCCATACTAGCAAGTGATTGAACCAGCATAAAGTTGATTATGTCATCACAAAGAATAAATGACACTTTAACTTATCATTTAATGTGAGTAGGCATATTGCTGACTCAAATGAAGCTAGGTGGTTGGTAGGATCAGATCTTTCCTTGTAAAATTCTAGGGAGAAATTGTAAACTTATTAGATGTCTTGGCTTTCGATTATTTTCTTGAAAATGCATTTTCTATCAATCTCCATTCTCATATTTTTCTCATGGCTTTTTCATCTAAATATTATGGAGTAAATCTTCTCCTTCTTTTTCTTCTTCCTTCTCTAGTCGGCACCGCAACGTGCTCTCCTTCTTTAGGATAGCCAGAAGCATTCTTTTCTACTCCTTATTCAAGCATCGGCTAGGAGCCCTTCTTGGTCCAACTCTCGACAAGTTCTGCATAGGATGCTCTTGTCTTGGTGGATCTTGTCAGCGAGCCATGGATTTTGGCAATCTAGTGTACGTTTTAGGCTTAATTCGAGAACAAGATCTTGATGCTTCTATCGCATCATGCACGACTTTGAAAATTTCTTTCCTTAATTTGTTAATCTATTATATAGTGAATTCTCTAGTATAATCCATTGTCCTTCTTCCTCTCTCCTTATCAAAATATAATTTTTGTACATATCCGAGTATGAACTCAACGCTCACCGTACATTTTGGAATGTTGAATCCTTTTAGGATGTAAGTTCCATATCATTCGTGAATACATACAATTGAGTGAAGATCTTCCTTTTGTAGAGGTAAGATAGAAGAGAGAAATGGGTGTAAGGCCCGTAAGAGATATATGAGATTATCTATTGAGTTCTAGCCTCCAATAAGCCAAAATATCAGGCTAGTCTGAGTTTTTCCGGGCTACGAAGTTTTATTGGAGAAAGAGAGAAAAAGTGAAAAGAGGAGAAAAGGATCTCCCCTCTCTCTTAAGATTTTATCATAGGAGAAAAATATAATAAAAATAAATTTAGTATTGTACAACTTCCATTCATAATGTCTTGATGAAAACACTGTGACGTGAAAGTGGAACAATGCATTTAAATATGGATGGTTTGTGTCCTTACTGGTAATGATGACCATCTTCGATAGTTGTATTTCCTTAGGCAGGCTAAGTTGTCCCTGATGAGTGAAAGAGATGAGTTCAACCACTTCGATAGGCGAGCACAGTTCAGTCACTTTGGCAAGTGGGCTCCTTAATACATATAAAAAATTCTATAAAATTATAATTGTGTGTAGAGAGAGAAAACTATATATA